GCTATTTGGGACAGTGTTGACCCAACAGCACCTGGCCTTTGCACTTCCCCGTGTCTGATTTACACAGATTTGTACACGATATCGTTTTAACTATAAACGTTAATTAAGATGTGTCGAAGCAAACATAGTATAAATACTTAAAAAGTGGATGCAGATATGCAAGGTATCAGTCTCATTACGCTCGTGTCAGATTAAAAATGGCGCGGATATTACAAGTAGACCGGATGTTGTCTACCCAAGATGCTCAGCCATTTTCATGGTATTGGGCCAACGTTGGGCCGATGCCAATCCCTCAGCAAATATTTTCTCTCATGATAAAAGTTTTATGATATAACGCCAACAGTTCGTCCAACATACGTCCCGTTATACATAACCAACTATCAATATTCCACGTTGGACCATCGTTGGCCCAATAAAGATATAAACCAACAACGATAATACAACCATTTAATGTAAGATTGGACCAACGATGTTCTGCTATCTGGGATTCACATCCTGTTCCTGAGAACTTTTAATTAACATTTATTCATTCTTCTCTAAATTCTCATGAATACAACGCTCACGAAAAAAGTCATAATTTTAAGCGTTTTCTTACAAATAAATAAGCATGCACAAAAATATAGAATAAAACAATCTTTCAAGCTGTGATCACATAAGTTCAAAGTTAAAATGTTGAAAATATCATATCTAAACAAAATCAGTTTTGCAATGAAAAGCATGGACATAGAATGTCCTCTTAATTATTTTAGAATGTGCATCTAAATTAATATTTGGAACCAACGTTGTCCCAACTTAAAGCCCAGCAGCTAATTATAAAATTGACACCATCATTTAGTTGGCAGTATAATAATTGGGCCAACGTTGGCCCAATGTACTTATTCCATTTTTGAAACACCTAAACAAAATAACACTCGTGCTAACATCGGGCCAACGTTGGGCCAACATAGTATTACCAACTTTATAAGACATTTTCTTTAAGGGTGTATTACAAACATTAGGCCAACATTGGGCCAACATACTACTACCAACTTGATAAGACACTTTCTGTAAGGTTGTATTACATACATTTGGCCAAAGTTGGGCCAACATACTACTACCTACTTTATAAGACACTTTCAATAAGGGTGTATTACAAACATTGGGCCAACGTTGGGCCACACTACTACCGACTTGATAAGACACAGTCTTTATGGGTGTATTACAAACATTGAGCCAACATCAGCATCTTTCCTTTCTTGGAAAGTAACTTGAATGGAAGTTGCTTACGTTGGACCAACATTGGACAAACGTAGGAATTCTGTCATGGTTGAGAAGGTTGGCATGGTAACATTGGTCCAACGTTGGCCCAACCTTGTTCCCCCAACGCCAACCATACAACCTTTTACCAATGTAGGCTCAACATAGTCATGCTATCTGGGAATACAGATCAGAATGAAATTTGGCACACATAAAGTCATACACATGTTCTATAAATAGCATATGTAATGGAACGTTTTTCCCCGTGTTAGTGACGTCACAATGTGAAAATGACGTCATAAGGTAGATCACTTGTGACAAAAAATGGTTGACTCAGTCTTATTCGAGAAACGAACGGCTGTAAGTTAAACGTATATCTTGGAAATTCCTTTGTAGAAGTTTATAATAATTTGTATATGGTTTGTAAAGACAAAAGACTTGCCAGAACCTTTGTCATTAATTGGATTGAATGTTTTAGTGAAGGAAGGGAGATGTTTAAAAATTATGATTGTTCTGTTACCCAGTGAAAGCAAACTGGGAGAGAGACGTGTCCTTTGTTAAGCAATTTGATATGAAAGATCGCCAACTTACAGTCAGAAAAATAGATGAATATCTTTACAATAATATAATTAACAAATCCCTAAAATATCGTTTACTTAATTTAGGCTTTAGACAAATCAGATATGATAAAGTGAAGGCACCCATACTTCATCCAAGTAAAATAAACGACGCTAAAAAGGCAGGGTTTTGACTTGGGTTTTGATGGTCACCATGCTCATTCTGCAAAAGGATATCATTATCCACCCATACTATTGCCAAGATTAGGCCATTTCTAACAATTGGACTGTTTTTGTTGGAAAAAATAATTTGCATGGTAAGAAATACAAGAGTCGGAAAAATTTTAAGCTTCTATGACAGAACGCTAAGGAGCATGTCACGTGACCGCCTATATTACGTGATCCGCGCTTGGGCAGAATGGTTGCAGATGCGCATTAAAATCGGAGATGACTACTTTGAAACATTTTCAACACTGTAACCCTATATCATTTCTCTTTTGGAAGTTATTCAATTAGTTCGGGAACTTTTTGATCGTAAGTTAAATAATTGTAATGCTTTGATCAATTTATACTTTCATAAGGATGCTAGTATAGAGTTTTTTTATGAACTGAGTCCTTACTTGTACGATTAAACTAAAATTACTATTTTCAATACTTCTAATAAATTTACAGCATATTTTTAAAGGAAAAATCCTCTTCAAAATATCTGTATATTTTAATGTTTAAAAAATCACAAGAAATATAGCTATTCAAGTCAATAGAATTACAAGAACAGATATTTAAATGCATGTTTCCATCAGAACATCATTAAATTTGCCAGAGATAATGTTTAAAGACTCTTTGCAGATGGCTCTGTCAAAAGCACAATTACCAGGTACATCTCAACACTTTTTAGAGTGGGGTATTGAAGAATGTAAGAGAAATTGTGAATTTTAATGCAACCTTTGCCACACAGGATTATGTAAACAATGCACGGACAAACATAAAAAAAGTCCACAGACAAAAAACCATGAAGTAGTCCTATACCAACTACGAAAACGACACCTGTCCACAGAAAAATGCAAGATCCACTCCACCAAGAATTTAGAACTTCTTTGTGATAAATGTGAAATTCCAATTTGTTCCAAATGTACTGCTACCTAACACATTCACTGATCTGGAATCAATTTATAAAGAGAAGTTTTCCCATTGTCAAGAAAAAAATGCAAAAATTCATGAGTATTTCCTTCCTGTATGTAAAGATTTACAGAGAGAAATTAATGGAGATGCCACAGAAATCAAGATCATGGCCAACGTAAGAACCTACATGAAGTCTGAAGCCGAGTCCCCTTAAAATCTGGTGGACTCATTAACTTCTGAAAATATCGAAGAAGTGAACAAAATAGAGCAGTCATTAATGGAAAAAATAAATAACCAAGATTCAATAATTGAAAAGTATATTACCTATCTAATGACCTGGATAAAAAGTTCCGTGTTTACATGTCCTCTTTAAAACCTACAAAACTTTTCACTGAAGAGAACGTACAAATCCAACCCATACCAGAAACAACAAAACCAGTGACGCTTGTATATATGTATTTATTGCTGGAAAGTACAGAAAAGAAGATATTGCCAAATTAATGGGAGAGATAACTTTTCCAAATATAAAAGAAGAGAGGAGAAAAGTAGAGCCCCTGACATAAAAACATTCTACATCATAACTGAAACCAACACTGTCTCTGTCTTCCTCTGTTACTGAGGTAGGGAGTTCACTGTTCCAGATGTTGACGATATATTCCATATGTCACTAGATCAGTCAGGCAGACTCTGGGTAAGTGAATATGCTGGTAACAAACAGATCTACAGGGGCATCAGCTACAGAAAATAAAAACCAGTGGTGTAAATGGTTACCACACCGTGACACTGGATGGAGATCTGATCTTTACAGACATGGACAAGAAAGTCATTGAAAGGACAACACTGGATAACAATATCACTCAATTCATTGAAACCATACACTGGATACCATTTTGCATACATTCCTCCCACATCAATGGGGACTTACTGGTGGGGATGGTGACAAGTGGAGAGGCTAAAGTCACCAGGTACAACAAGACAGGAAAAGAACTACAGAACATACAGAGGGATAACAAAGGACAGGGACTGTATAGTGAACCACAATACATCACGGAAAACATCAATGGAAATATCTGTACATCAGACTATGATAAAAAGGCAGTAGTGGTGGTCGAAGTAAACCAAGAAAACACAGATTCTCCTACACAGGTCAGGAGTCAAAGTTTCGTCCCCATGGAATCTGTACCGATGTCCTCGGTCACATACTGGTGTGTGATCTGCAGAATATTCACCTCCTTGATAAGGATGGTCAATTCTTATCTCTACTAATCACACCAAAACAAGTATCTCATCCCGTTAGTGTATGTGGATGATGAGAACAATCTTTATGTGGGACAAGATAACAACACAATTAACATTATTCAACATCTCCAATTAATGAACACAAAATAGTGTGCTACTGTATTTTTCACTAGAAGTTTATGTATCTTTTATTTATTCTCCGTATAATGGCGGATATAATTATTCAATTATTTATTTTACAGGTGAGATGGGATTTTTGAATAAAAATGACTGCAAAGCCAAACTATGAAAATAAAAGGCTACTCTACTTAAAGCATCAAATGAAAAAAAGTATGCCTTACTATTGCTGAAACAACTTAGATATCTTCTCATAAATTTATATGAGATGTTCAACTTATAATCACGAGAAAAAATTCTCATTATTCCAAGAAAATTACATGTATCATTGGTCCCTGTCAGTCTGTTCTACTTGGTTTTCTGGAATTTTTCTAAATGTTTGCAGATATTGAGCTGAATTTTGGTATGTGAGTGTATCTTGATGAGTTACAGATCAAGTTTGAATTTCGTTTCACTTCATTGATTTTTGACAGAATTATGGCATTTTTAATTTTTCATAATGGTTTAAGATTGGGTTCGTGCTGCGCTAAATTCTGAAGGTCAACATAGTAAATATGAAGCTAGAAAAGACATAAAATTTGCATACTGTAAAGTGACATCCTAAATAAAAAAGGGAAACCGGTAGGGAACATGTATTGCTTATGCAATACTCTCAGAATGCTTGTTTGTATTCTGCTCTCACCATGTCCCAATCCATATATAAAACTGTTTGGTATACCATAAACGTTTCATTTATTTTGTTTCTATATGATACATCTTAATATCGTATCTTTATACATTTACCATGTACCATTAGAATAATTCAATGCTGAAACAGCATCTGCTAGTAATTCAATGACTCTCCATTCCCTACATAATAGTATCTTTTTTTATAAGGTCAAAGTATTAAAAAGCATTAAAAACCTCCACAACCCTTTCTTTAACATTTCTCACTGTGGCTATATATGCAGCCTACATCAGTTTGTGATACAGTGGTAGTCAAACATTGGCATTTTAGATCTGAGCTGCTGTATATCACTGATACACTGGTGGTCAGGATAGTTACAGTCTTTGACAGGTCTCACAACATAGCTCTTTTCTCTGTCACGTTTGTCTGTGTTAGCTTTCTTCTGGGGAGGTTCCACTTCATCACCCTTCCCATCTACCTGCTCCACTTCTGGGTTTCCAAGAACCTGGAGCACGAATAGCAGATTAAAATCAAATGTGAAATATCTTTTTTTAAGAACTTGAAACACATTTTAGGGGTAGGAGGGAATATACATATATTAATAAACAGCAACAAGTTTAACTCTGAAACCTCTCCGCGTTTTAACTCATATAAATCTCTAATTAGAATGTATTTTTAATAAAGGGTTTTTAGAATGTGAAAGAAAATTGTGAGATTTTAATACCTGAAAGCTTATCCTTTTCTGATTTTCTCCCAGATACTGTTTGTACCAGTTCCGCAGGTCTTCTAGTGTTAAAGTCCTCAGTATAGCTACCTAGAGTAAAAGCAAATCAAAGCATATGAACCTTCATACAGAATACCTACAACAAATGTTATAATAGAACTTCAGACTTTCAATGTGTAATAAACTTTTCAGAAAACATACATAAAACTGCCCTTTATAAATAAGTCTTACAATACCGACCTCTTTCTCTAGTCTGTCAAACACGTAGTTTTGTTCCTTACACTCCCCCCAGTATCTGTTGACTTCCTCCTCTAATTGAGTGTCCTCTGTAAGTTTGACTGCTATCAGAGACTCCACCTTAAATATACCACAGGGACTTCAGACCAAGACAACAAGGATCTTAAATATACCACAGGGACTTCAGACCAGGACAACAAAGATCTTAAATATACCACAGGGATTGAGACCAAAACAAAAAGGTAGTGAGCTTGCTCAAACAACTGAATTTAATTTGTGCTGTACTACTTTATAGCAATTACCAATGTATCAAACTCCTCTTTGGACATTTCATCCAACATCTCTTTGAACTTGTTCAGGAAATCCTCAATATGGTTGTCAACCTCATGCATCCTACAAAAATTATAAAAATGTAGTTTATCAATTTTTTAAAATTTGTCATAAAAATTCAATTAACTGTGGTAACAATTAACCAAATCAATGAAAAATACTCTTTATAACATCAACTATCTAAACTCAGAGGTGATTACCGATTTAAAAAGAAAAAACATTGGCACTATATGATTGTTTTGTATCAGTAACTATTTTATATTAATATTTATTTGCAGTGGGATAAATGTAAACTAAAGTCTGGTATACACAAGTAATAAATCTTACGTAAACTTCTGGGCTTGGAACTGGACTGTTACAGCGAGTCCCATGATGCCACTGTGACCAGGTTCTGACAGTATACAGTGTATCCCAGTTGTAGTTGTGTCCTCAGTACGTCAAAACACGGCTCCTGCATTCTTAACTATAAAAAAGAAATACTGGTTTTTTACATGTGGAGTGTAAAACACAAGATCCCATGTATATCAATGTCAGAGAACATGGCAAAAGACATCAAAGTTAGACTCCATGAACTACTCAGACTAAACCTTTGTTGAAGCCTATACCACTTAAATCTAAGAATTTGTTGATGACGGTTTTGACTGAACCTTATGCCACTTACATCTAAGAGTTCATTGAAGACAGCTTTGACTAAACGTTATGCCACTTACATCTAAGAGTTCATTGAATATAGTTTTGACTGAACATTATGCCACTTACATCTAAGAGTTCATTGAATATAGTTTTGACTGAACATTATGCCACTTACATCTAAGAGTTTGTTGATGATGGTTTTGACTGAACCTTATGCCACTCACATCTAAGAGTTCATTGAATATAGTTTTGACTGAACCCTATGCCATTTATATCTAAGAATTTGATGATGTCGGTTTTGACTGAACCTTATGCCACTTACATCTAAGAGTTCATTGAATATAGTTTTGACTGAACATTATGCCACTTACATCTAAGAGTTCATTGAATATAGTTTTGACTGAACCCTATGCCACTTACATCTAAGAGTTTGTTGATGATGGTTTTGACTGAACCTTATGCCACTCACATCTAAGAGTTCATTGAATATAGTTTTGACTGAACCCTATGCCACTGTTATGGGTCAGAATAACCCTAAATGCCAGCAAAGATCAATCACACAGTTTAAACTTAACAATAATTTATTTACAGTAATATACAAATCATTAAGTACAAACTTAGCAAAAATCTAAAAATACATACATTAGAGTGTCCGTTGCTGCACACAATGTCCCAGTGAAATTATATCCCAGTAATACCTCAATGATGCTTATACGACAATTTATCTATGCATCGAATTGACAGGGTATTTATATACAGTAATATAAATCTAGAATATTCTAGAAATTGTAAATACATGATATTCCTGGAAAGTTCTAGCATAAACAAAGTTCAAGAATGTTCTAGAAAAAAATGACC